GATACAGTCTGCTAGCAGCGTTAGCATTACATCGGCATTCTCCATATATTAAATGCATATTATGCGTATTCCTGTGGTGTGTACGGTTGCGGCATGTTAAACGCCAAACAGTCCAAAATGCGCCAGAACTCTAAATCACAAAACACACAATCGTTGTCCAAGATAATGTCAGGTCAGTTAAGTTTGCAGGACGATTCCAGTCCAAAAAGCCAAGCCAAAAGTCGATAGTATATAGTACGAGAGCCACGTAAGTTGAATTGGGAACAGTGCGCTTACTGCGCACAAAGGAGCAGAGCGTACTGAACTGACTTGCTGAGAATAATAACAGCTTCTCTACCTGCCCTGTTGTTGTCTCTTTTTAACGTAAATATCTCTATCTATCTATCTCTCTCTAACATCTAAGGTATTAATGCCCCATTCAAATTCCTAGAAATTGTAACGGGAACCCATTTTGGGCATGTAGTAAAAGTGATTACTGACAATTACAATTTAAGGAATTTGGCCCCTGTTTAGAAATAATAGGCCCATATTTTTTTATAACTTGTTTTCCTGGAGTATTATACCATTTTGGAATGATGATTTCTTATATTTACGCGAACACTACACATTGAAATAATACTAGTTTTTACGGAATTTATCGCGTATATTTAACTTTGTTAATACCCGACGTTTCGAACGCTTTACAGCACTCATGGTCACGGGCGGGACTGAGACGTTCAACGTCCATATGTCATAGTTAACCGCGGTTACCATAGATTAAAATTTTTTTATCGGTTTTTTCTTTCGATCGGAACAAAAGATTAAATTCTGTATATATATATATATATATATATATATATATATATATATATATATATATATATATATATATATATATTGAATTTGTAGTGTCGAAACAGTTTTTAAAGGCACTCTAAAATCTCCTGCGCAGATAATTACTTACATCATAAAAAAAAGAAAAATGTATTTCAGTATTTTTTTTAATATTACGGACAAACATTACTTAAAGAAAAAACAAAATACACGCTATAATTGTATACAAACTTACTGTGTAAATTGTATCCGTTTTATATATACAGTTTGGTCTGCGGACTCCAGTAAAATTTTTCGCGGACTCAATCCTAAAAAAGTAATTAATTGATTACAATAAAACATTGTCTATTTCGTAAAGTAAAAGAAATTTTTAAAACCAAATGATCAGTTACAGAAACTACTTTCTTAAAACAAACAACTTTACCTCCATAGGTATTAGAGTAGGTATAGATGTAGATAACAATGTCAAGGTCACAGAAATCGTAATAATAAGACAATAGAAGTGGCATAGACGCGTGACCGTGTCGCCTCTGTGATGTGTTGACGAACATCATTCACCATTTTGTGATTTAGTTGCGCGGGGAATGTCGTACGTGAATTTGTTATTATAGTGGTGAACTGCAGCATAATCATTAGTTAAAACTCATCAAAGACGTGTAATTCTAACTAATAAAGGCATAAAATTTCATCGGTAAAATAGTTATTTACTAATTATCAATTTTTAATTAATTTACATCTAGATGAATACTTTACTATGATATTTACCTATGTAAGATTGCATTTATTACTTTTCGTATTTGTACAATTACCATTGATGCTTTTGTTCTACTGTAATACGCGTCGCACGCGACGATGACAAGCTCGCCAAGCAATATAATGTGAAACATTAGATATCATTGTACATTGCGTATGTTTATAATACCGCTGCGGGCAACGGTCGCATGTTCGTATGTGTAAAGATGTGGCGACATCGGTTTTGGAAGTAATCGAGCGCTAATTCATTTCTATTGTCTTATTATTACTATTTCTGTGGTCAAAGCAGTTAGTAAAAAAAAATAAGGGCAAATAAAATTACATCGTTTCATAAATATTTTTAATACTTTGAAAATTATTTAATAAATATTTTAAAAAAATACAAGGTTTATATTTTATGAGGATAAGTAGGTACAAATTATTATTACTATGTACAATATTTAGCTTTAGGTATTTTAGCTATGATTACAAAAAGAAAAGATAAAATAATCAATGGCAGTAAACATTAAATATATTTTGTAAATACTAGCATCACTACCGTAAGGTTTTGCAGCCATACCCCAACTAAACTGTCTCTAGGTAAATAAAGAAGTTATTTGTAATTATAAAAAAAAAAAATAAAGAAAGAAATATACGTAATTTATGCCGCAGCCCATATATACCATATCCACTAAGTCATTCATTAATTTCCATTCACGGGATAAATGGCTTATTAGTTCGTTGTTTAAAATGGCTACGAAGAAACAAAGTCCAGAGCACAGACTACCTATTTACACACCGAAAGTCTAGTATCCGCCCATAATACGTACTCCAGTGCTTGTTACTCTGACGTTAAATTAAGTCTAAATTGATTTAAAACACGATTACCGCACGTTAACGTCGAATGTAACATTTATATCTAAAATTTTTTTCATTGATTAAAACTACTTTTACGGATTACATCACGTTTATTTTATTTGATTTTTTATTCGCGATGTTTCGGGTGCATTCCAGCACCCATGAACACGGGGCCCTGAGGTGACTGACGTCCTGATGTCATTGTTAACTCGGAGTACCTTCAGCTTTTTAATTAGTATTTATGGTCCGATCTACGCAGAATGAACTTACTGTGTCTAGAAGTCTTGCAGTGGTATGCTTGGGTTTAGTTTTAATTTTATTAACTACAGGATCCCAAGTAGGTGGTAGCACCCAGCCTCTTTCTCTATCGAAATTAAGATGTATTTTTAATTTTAATAGATTATATAATTTAGATTCATTCTGCGTCCGCACCCGAAACGTCGGAAATTAAAAATCAAATAAAATAAATACAATAAAATCCGTAAAAGTAGTTTTAATCAATTTGTAGTGTTCGCGTAAATATAAGAAATCATTGTAAAATGTTTTTCAAAATAATATTTAATACCCATTGTTAATTTGATTGTTACATAATCATATGCCGCGGGTTAATTAGAAAGATTTCATTATTTTATTTATAGCTGCTTATTTCGTAGTAAAATGAAGTTTACAAATCATTGCCCCATTTTCAGATTTAAATTTTTTAGGTCTAACGTATAATTTCAGATCAAATTGGCACTTACGTAACATAAATCTTCTAGACGTTTGTTTCAAAATTAACTTTTAATACTTCCATTCATAATTATTCCATTCATGCTAAATCTTGTGTCAAAATTGTAAACAGGGTTTTATCAAGTTTTTGTCATTTTGAGCTTCATTATTTCTGTTAATGTACAATATAATCAATATTTAAATATATTTTTTTAATAAATACTGGACTATTATTTACTATTGTATACTTATAATTTTGTTTAATAAAAATAAACTATTACAAACAAACCCTATAAATACGCTACATTTTATATTTTCGTAAACTCAATAGCGCAGTGGCTTAGCGTTTAGCTGTGACAATGCGGAATACAGAAGAAAATCCTATAAAGTTGGGGACACGTTTTTAAAAAAAGAAAGATTTGTGTCTGTGAATGTTTTTGCATAGGTGAATACAAATTATATTATAAATTTAAAACCCTTTAACATTGTAACATCACCATCAAAGTCAGCAGCACTTTCAAGTCGACTGCAGGATAGCCTTTCCGAGGCCAGGTTGCAAGCATGGCGTAGTGCAAAGCCAATGTTTTAGCACTGCTAAGATTACTTCCCATCAACAGTATTTATTTACGAGAAGCGTCCATCCGTTAGCATTGCCAGTTGCATTGTGAGCAGGTTGCAGTTGATATTTAGATAGAAAAAAACAACTTACACCCTAACAATATTTTGTAATCTACGTTAAGGGGATACCTTGAAATAGAATCGAAGTTTGGGGGCGTGGCTTATTCCTTTGTCGGTGAAACTAACGGACGACTGCGGGAGTGCCAGCAAGCGCTCGGAAATAAACTAAGTAAACGCCAAACAACATTTTTATTTATTTTAACAAAACTTCGTTATGGATTAAAAAACTGGTTTATGAGAACTTAGATATGATTATTTACTATGCCTTAAAAATTATTCCATGAAATTATTCGTAAGAAAATTGTGGTGTCATGGAGAAATGTAATAATCAGAGCCTACTTTTCAATTTTTTCGTGTTTTCCTTTTATGAAATCCAAGGTCATATAGTTAAAAATCATATACCAAAATTTTGGTTTGTAATCTATAAAACTTAAAAAAATATATTAAATAGAAAAACCACCAAATTTTCGAAGTATCACCTTAATTTCATTTCATTGTACTTTTACTGTGGCTAATAGATCAAAAATAGGTTTTCGATAAATTGTTAGGACGCATGAAACTTTAAATAGGGCTGGTGGTGAGTTCTTTAAAAAGGTTTTGTAATAAAAACTTTAGCCTTAGAACTTTTTTTAGTTTCGCAAAACTTTCCAAGTGGTCCACGTAGAATGAACTCCGCTAACTGTGTTTCAGTAACATATGTTCTGTTACGATCATGCAGGATGACATATCTTGGATATCTTCACCGTATTGAATGTATCGGTGAAAGATCAAATTAAAAACATCACAAGGAAACTTAATTCCAGTTATCTTTCTATTATCTAATATATTTTATATAAACGGGCGATAGTCTGTACTTGTAACAGATACTCGTAAAGAATAGCTGTCTCACACAATAAATAATGCAAACACTAAAAAAGTCGGACACTAACTCGAACTTTCAGTGATATCTTAATATGTTATATTATAACTTTAAGTAGTACCCCATCCAACATAATTTTTTCGTTCACCAACAAATTATTTCTTTATATATTTATTCTTGTCTTAAATCTTAGTGTAAAAACATAATGCCCGCTTTAATCGAGCTTGGAGCGAGGCGGTTCGTTCGACGCGTATGACAAACACGGTCTTAGTATTCCCAGTGGAGGCCTCGATTTGTCTGTACGCGTCCTCACGCTGTACGCCCGGTCAAATGGCCTCAAATTAGGCCACCATTACTGTTGTGAAGTCTGGTTTAATCGACGCTTCGAAAGCTTTTTGGGTCGGCTACAAGATAAGAATGGCCGGCGTTAACAGAATACGAAAGATCTTACTTCTTAGATAGAGTAGAAAAAAATAAGGCATTCATTAAGAACAGATAATAAAATTTTTATTTACATATATATCAAATATTATATTAGAACTTAAAAAATAAATAAGACTTATTAACGTTTTGTTGAAGTAACATATACAGATACTTTCTTAATTTTTTTTTAAGATTTGTTAATACATCATTTACTTATATGAATAAACATTGTTGTTTATATTTAATTTCATTAATTTAATTATCACTTAAAATTCCTAAAGTACACATTTGATAAAATTGTATTTCAGGTTATACTTTTCATAACGTCAATATTAATAATACTTTTTATAATGTCATAGATATTATTATTACTGGAAAAGACATACTATGTATGTGTGTTAATGTATAAAAACATGTAAATATTATTAAAGTAATATGTCAAAGGTTAACATTTGTAATGCAAAAGTATTTGAACACATACTAATTTCATTCGCTATCATTTCTAATCCATAATAAAATAGTGTTTGCTAATAATGTATTTGGGCATAATAGTAAATGATTTTTACATTTAATTAATTTTATGTCGACATAAATAAATGCTGGGTTTAAAGCTGAAATATACAACGATTACTGGGATAGGAAAATATATACTTTCATAGCATGAAATATATCAACAATTTGTAAAATGGTATTTCCGTTGAAACACTATTACAATAATGCAATGAGAGAAATTGATTGAAGGAGCGCTTTAATTAAGTTACTACACAAAATAGCATTGATTTATAAATCCAAATCTATACAAACACGAAGTAAAAGTAATTTTTTGTTCATGTTTATAAAAATTAAAATAAACTATCACATACGTCTTAAATATTGAAACTGCATAAACCTACTTTCGAATCAAGCACATTTATTTTGTGCTAATAAAACCGCCTTCAATCTAACACGACCCAATTATAATAATTGCCTATTTCTTACATTGTATTACCTAATTAGTTTTGTTTACAATAATTAGTCAGTGTTTACCGGCTTGTGATGTGCTTGGGGTCCATGTGACCCGTGTCACTGAGGGCCCGTAACACTACATTGCCATTGGGTAGAATTGACACCCAAGTTATCGATCCATGGTTAAGTGATATACGTAGCCATCCTTCGGGTGGAAATTGGAGCGCCCTGAAATAAATAAAAAAAAGATTTTTTATAATAAACCATCTATTTAGACTGTCTAGCAAACTGTTTCTGTAACCAACTTTAAACAAGAAAAGCTACAAGTAATTGGACTAAGAAGAAATGTTTCAAGATACTTAAATTGAAAGAAAAAAAAACCAGTGGACTTTACTGTAGTTTAAAAATTAAAATATGTAAGCAGTTGGTCTTAACCAGCTGTCTGAATTCCAGGCGTGTCACCGCCTAGTATAAGAAAGGAAAGATAGACAGGTAAATTTAAATATTAAAAGTACAGACCAGTCTGATGTGTATTTCATTCACAAAGTTGTTCATAATATGCTTATAAGTAACAATGCGAAGTTTTTAGAAGATTTTGACGAGTGCTTAACGCAATGGACAGATAAAGCACTTGTAACATTGTTTCAATTAATTTTGTTGTACTAAGTATTAGTTGAAATAATGTTACAAGTGCTTTATCTGTCCGCTGGGTTAAGCAGTCGTCAAAATCTTCTAAAAACTTCGCAGTGTTACGTACATAGAATACTATCATACATACATAGAACGGGGGAGTGGGCGGAGCCCGTGTAGCCACTAAAATGTCACTAACACGTCAATTCACACGTATAAACTTCAACACGAGATGTGTTTTGACGTTACAATCGTTTTCAAATTTCCCATGCAAATGATTTAGAAAATGCCAAATTGCACGGTATTTACAAATAAATATGTATTAAAATCTGTCTGTCAACATAACGAATCGGGTTTGTAGTAGTGATAATACGAGGTTATTGCTTGTATGTGTGCTCCCGGCGACGCCTATCGTCGTACAAAATAAGGTTGAAAGCCATTCTATTGTGTATTATAGAATTCTATGGTTACGTATGAGCATATTATACAACTTTGTGAACGAAATACACATCAGACTGGTCTGTACTGCTCTATATCCATGGCCATGTATAAATTTAAAAAGAAAAACAAGCTTTGCGATATTTGAAGGACGAGCTAATGAGCACAGATGCGATATCCCTCATATTATCAACCATTAACTATCTGTAAGTTTTAGATTCGTTATTACCGACGGGATATACCACCATTTATTGGTCACCAGAGCCATGTTTCTTAGTTTACAGATACACTGCGTGTAGGTAAAACCGGAATTTGAATAAATTTATATCACTTAATACCTCAAGCTGATAATAATAAAAATAAAAGAAACCATTAACTTTGATCGAATAAAGTTATGAAACCAGAATTCTTATCAGTTTAAGACTATTACAGAAACAACTAGGTCTAAGCATATGTGGTAGAGCCACGCTGCAGTTATATTATGGTTCTAGCATGAATGGGTCGGCTCAACCGGGGAAGGACCACGCTCTCACAGAACATCAGCGTAAAATAGCAGCTTACTGCCGCTGTGTTTCGTATAGTGAGTGTAGAAAACTGGAGACCCGTTTTACTTTAATCGAGGCATTCTATCTTAGTTCTCAGGGCTGACAACGCATCTAAATTTTGATTCTTAATCGAGGTTAAATGTAGATGTCTATGGGCCACAGCATCAACTTCCCATCAGGTGGACTGTGTGCTCGTTTGTCATCCATATTCTATAAAGAAAAGTTACTTACTTGCAAACAAAGAATCTTATGACGTTCGCGTGACAAACAAGAATTGTGAAGGAGTCCTTCGTCTGGTCGGGTGGGGCCCTGTGGAAGTAACGCCGAAACGCAGCCTCTATTCGCGCCCCGTCCTGGAAGAACTGCTACACGTGCCCAATCATACTCCATTAATGAACTACCCAGCATTGCTATAACCCTACTGCCTGAAGCTAGTGGTCATGGAAAGAATTCTTTAATGTTTTCAAATATGTTCAATTATTCTTTATTAAAATATAACTATAGATATAAGAATTGATCTTAGAATTGATATTTATGTGGTAGGTAGATTTATGTGGTATTGCGTAAAAATACTTTGAGTGAAAATAATTTTATAAAGTCTGGATCAGATAAGTAACAATTACACAGAAAATCGCATAGGCAACTATATATCATGCAAAAATGCTAAGATTAAAAATTTTGATTTGAATTTTTGGCGAAAAAATGGCGTAAGGTATGCAAACTGGGTTGTCATTTTAAAAATGAAGTTATTTTGCAAAAACAACTTATTTAAACACAATTCTTATTAATGGGTATATATATATATATATATATATATATATATATATATATATATATATTCAACATAAAAGAAACTGTATTTTATAATAAATGTATTCTTTTGTTGGTGTCATAACGAAAATTATAAAAATTAAGTGTTTTCATAAGTTATTTGAAAAAAAAAAACGTTTACAAAACCTTGCATATTATGTATTTTATATTATAGAATTATAATATTATAAATAAAAATTAAGTGTTTTCATAAGTTATTTGAAAAAAAGTATACACAACCTTGCATATTATGTATTTTATATTATAGAATTATAATATTATAAAATATAAAAAATAGATACATAAACTTAGCGCCCTGTCACCCAGAGGGGTAGGCAGAGACTACGACTTCCATTTGGCACGACCCTGACACACCTCTCTCGCCTCTTTCACATCTATATACCTCCGCATACTTGCTCGTCGGTTAAGGGTACTCCTAATTTCGCCCGTTTTCAATAAATCGCTAATTTGTTCGATGAATTTTCGCCTAGGACATCTCTTTCCGACTCTGCCATTCACTTCTGCAACATATATTTTCTTTGTCACTCTTTCCTCATTCATTCTTTTCACATGACCAAACCACCGAAGCATTCCTTTCTTAATCCTGGTCACAACATCATCTTGCAAACCACACTCTTCTTTTAACACACAATTTCTCACCCTGTCATTCGGATTCAGCCCTAACATACTCCTTAAGGACCGCATTTCTACTGCTTTTATTCTACTCTCGTGCTTCTTCTGCCACACCCAACTTTCACTACCATACGTTAAAGTAGGGACCAACACAGCATTGTGAATTGCCATACGTGCCTTTTTTTGACACAATTTGACTCTTCACAATAGAGTGTAGGGCGCATATATAGTGTATATTATAAAACTGCAGAATAATGTATTTTATTTTATTAATAATGACTATTTTTAATTTTTAAGCAAGAGTGTCTAGTCTCTAGTGGTACTTACTTTACTAGAAATAAATAATTTTAGGCAAAGTTTGTAAAACAAAAGATATTAAAATCAGAAAATAAAAAAGAAAATCTAATAGTGTAAACTTATTATTGGTTTTTCGTTGTCTCGTCTTTTCGTCTTCTGACAATTTAGCAAAAATGCTGGACAAATTATTTTACTGACACATAATGACAAAAGAGAATTGGTTTTAAATTAAAATTATTCAATGGAACCTTTCAAAACATATTTATTATAAGCAACTTATCAGTTATAAGCATATCATTGTCCAATACAATTGATATACATATGTCAAAATAATAGCATAACCGGATGATTTAATGTTTCATCTACGTTTTGTTAAACTGCCTTTTGATTGAATTAAAGTTTTTAGATGGTAGACATATAAAATATGTGATTTACTCCAAAGTCACACCGACAATAAAATAACAAGCTCATAATACAAAAGATAAATGAACTCACAATTCAAAACTGGTTCAACTTTTTTAATTTTATGATGATGATTTGAAACTTACTTTTGGTTCAGGTGCCCAATGACCAACTGGTGGCTCGGGTGGAATGGGCGCACCTTCTTCAAGAAGTTGACAGTCTTTTATTTGTAAATCTTGAGGTAGATGCTTGGCTATTATCGACGCCGTCTCTTGGGCTCGTGTCATTGTAGACCGCACGAGTAAATCCCACTTCACATCTAACGACGCAAGTCTTTTCCCAGTCAGATCTGCCTGAATTCTACCTATAATTTATATTGTTAGAAATATATTAGGTTATTATTATATTATAAAATATTAGCGTAAGAGATATTAAAAACAATTAAAAAAAATTTATTGTAGAGTGAAATATGTCTAAAAATATATATTATACGTGGTAGAGCCATGCTGCAGTTGTATTAGATGTATAGTTGTAGCACGAATGGGTCGGCTCGACCGGGGAAGGACCACGCTCTCATAGAATACCAGCGTGAAATAGTAGCTTAATGCTGCTGTGTTTCGTATGGTGAGTGTAGAGAACCGGAGACCCTTTTTTACTGGAAACGAGGCATTCCATCTTAGTCCTCACGGGTGACAACGCATCTGCATTTTGATTCGTAATTGAGGATAGATGTAGATGTCTATGGGCCACAGCAACCACTTACCATCAGGTGGACTGTGTGCTCGTTTGTCACCCTATCCTATAAAAAAAAACCCGCTGGGTTTCATGTTGGTTTTTCCTAGGACAGAGTTATTTTCCGAACCAGTGGTAAATAAAAAAATGACTTTCAATAAATATTATGTAATAATCTATATTGAATAAAACCCTTCATTTCATATCCTGATACAAGCCTCTAAAATGAGATTTATTTTAAGAAATACAAAGATCTTTAAGAATATCAGTATTTTAATATATCCTTACATTTATATAGTCTGAAGTGTTTTAGAATACTGTAAGCAGGCATGGTCACCCTTCTATAAGATACAATAGAGTCTAGAAAATATAAAGAATATAAAAATCCTCTACCCCATATCATCCCGTGGGTGTCGTAACAGGTGTAGTAAGTAGGGAAACAAATCAGAAGATGGGATTTTTTGTTTTATTAGTTTTGAAGGAAGACGCTGATGTCTTCCTAATAACAACTAAAAATAAAAATCTGCAGTTGCCAACCCGCTTGCCAAGTGTGGTTACTATGGCAAATATCATCCCCATGAGGCAATCTATGGGGACTACCTATGTTCAGCCGTGGATTGTAATAGGCTGTAACAGTATGATTGATTGCCCTTAATTGTTTGCAAAAATAAATACTTCTGCCACAAACATAACTACCACTTCCTAGTTATTACGTATTATTGAGTGCAATATTTAAAGTGAAATAGATACCAAGAAATAATGTCGAATAAAGGAAATGTGTTGTTCGGCAACAGCCTCACATTTGATCACATCACCATATGCAAGAGTGGGATATTTTTAAGAGTCGATTTGTCCAGTTTAGTATGGCAAATAATTATCATGATGACACTAATAAACCAGGAGTTATGAGAAGAGCTTTTTTGCTTACCTCATTAGCAGAAGATACATATCGCCTAGTACGTGACTTGGTTTTTCCGTTAAAACTAGAAGATTTAGCTTGTAAGACTCTCATTGAAAAGATTGACAACCAGTTTTCCCCAAAGAAATGTACATTTGCGGAAAGATATGTTTTTTATAAAGCAGAACAAAGACCAGGCGAAGATTTAACTGAATGGGCGGCTCGGGTTCGTCATCTTGCTCAGTTTTGTGGTTTTAAAATAGAACTGGAGACGGCATTAAGGGACAAGTTTGTGCTGGGATTGGCAAATGTCAAGGAAAAAGAAAAGCTTTTTAGTGAAAATATCGATAGCTTAACATTCAACAAAGCGTTGGAGTTAGCACAAAGAGTACGATATGCTCGAGTTGCAGTTCAAAGATCATTGCAAGATGAGGGACTAGTCACATCATCAGCGACAGCGCAACCGGTGTTCGCTTTACGAGCCCTAGAAAATGCTGTTCGTCAAACTACAGCAACAAACACACCTTGTTCGGTTTGTGGATATAAGAACCATACTAAAGATAAATGTCGATACGCGAATTATTTTTGTCAAAAGTGTAATAAAAAAGGGCATTTAAAACGTGTTTGTAAGAGTACATATAAGAGCAACAATTATTTGGAGGTGGATGACAATGATTTAGTAAAAGGTATTTCATACGATTTGTATAATATTGGGTGTTAAACGGTATGCCGATGAGACTGGTCGTGTCGATAGCGTCAAAGCGAAGTTTATCAATCGTATTTTTACAATAATTATTTTTAAACCATTGTAACGTCATTTTAAATTGTTATAATAGGTCGAAAATATCTCCTTTGGGCTATTGTTTATTACCGGTGACGTATGAAAATCGTACTGAAATTATTCGTTTTTATATTATAAATACAGATATAAAACAACCAGTTCGGTTGGGTCGTAATTTTATAACGTGTTTTAATATGAAACTGTGTATTGGTGACTGTAACAACTTAGAACATAACGATTTAGTAAAAGAATTGAAGGAAACATATTCACAGTTGTTTACAGATGAGCTGGGAACTTTTAATAAATATAAAGTAACTTTAAAAATAAAAAATGATGCTCAGTTAAAGTTTTTTAAGCCGAGAACGGTACCATTAGCTTTGAAACATAAAGTTGAGTTAGAATTAAATAAACTATAAAAAATTTAGGTATTTCAGAGCGCGTAGATTATTCAGAGGTAGCTACGCCGATCGTACCCGTTTTTCGGTCAGACGGTAACATACGAATATGTGGCGATTATTCAGTGACGTTGAATAAATTTTTATACTCTGATAATTACCCGCTTCCACGAATAGAATGTTTATTTGCTAAGCTTCATGGTGGCGTCCAATTTTCAAAATCAGATCTTAGAGCCTATAATCAGCTGGAGTTAGGTGACTCTAAAAAATTAACGTGTATTAACACCCGCATCGTTATCATTTTGTTATAATAGATTAGTTTTCGGAATTTCATGCGCCCCAAGTATTTTTCAGAAAACAATTGATCAACTTTTATCAGGTATTGAGGGAGTCTGCGTATTTTTAGACGATATCTTAATAACGGCCCCAACAAAAGAGGAACACCTAAAACGATTACATCAAGTACTTAGAAAATTACAGGAATCAGGACTTAGATTAAAGCAAGAATAATGCGATTTATTTAAAGACTCAATTGAGTATTTAGGTTTTATCATAGATAAGTCAGGACTACGTAAATCAAACAATAAAGTGAAAGCAATATTAGAAAGTAAATGCCCTAATAATGTCACGGAATTGAAATCATTTTTAGGGCTTATTAATTATTATAGAGGATTTGTGCCTAATGCATCGACTTTATTAGCACCCTTGATTTCACTTTTAAAAAAAGGCGTAAAGTGGGTGTGGCAAGAAAAACATTTAAAAGTATCCAATAAAATCAAATATGAATTAGCGTGTGACAGGGTGTTGGCACATTATAATCCCGACCTAATTACAATAGTGACGGCTGATGCAGGGCCGAACGGGCTCGGCGCAGTGCTCGCTCAGCGACAGCTTGACGGCGTCGAGCGAGTGGTGGCGTACGCATCGCGTTCGCTCATAAATGCCGAACGAAATTATGCACAAATTCAAAAAGTAGCAACTGCTATCATTTTTGCTATTAAAAATTTTCACCACTATTTATACGGCCGCGTGACCCCTTTTATTTTGCAAACTGATTACAAACCCTTGGTGTCGATTTTTGGTGGTAAAAAAGGTATACCTGAAATGGTAGCGAATAGACTTCATCGATATGCTATATTTTTGTCCGCATACAATTTTACGATAGAGTATGTCAAAAGTGAAAATAATGTTGCCGATTTTTTATCACGATGTTCAGTAAATAATTGTTCTGAAAATATTGAATGTAGTCCAGATCAAACTAATTTAATTATTAATTTTATTAACGATAATATGTAAAACCTATTACGGTAAATGACATTAGGAAAGAAACTATGCAAGATCAAATACTCTGTAAAATTATAAATTTTGTTATAAATGGCTGGCCTTTGAAAATGCACAATGCGGAACTTAAACCGTATTTTAAATGTAAAAATGATTTAAGTGTCGAAAATGGGTGCCTATTAAGGGGACATAAAGTGGTGATACCAACAGTTTTTAGGGAAAGTCTACTTAAAGAATTGCATAAGGCCCATTTTGGCATTGTAAAGACTAAAAATGAAGCGAGATCGCGTATGTGGTGGCCCAATATTGATAAGCAGATTGAAGAAATAATAGGATCGTGTAGTATTTGCAACTCGCTCCGCTATGAGCAGTAAATCCAATCAACATTTAGAGGTACCAATGCAAGAGCTGCTTTCCCGCTCAACTAGAAATCCGAATCCAAAATATAAATTTAAAAAAATTACATGATTAGTTATACATTTTTATCATTACTTATGTTTTTTATATTTAGTGTAGAGTATGAAAGCCATATTGTAGGCTTATGAAAAAACTAACATCTGACAGTTGTCATTAAATAAAAAGGTATGAATGCAAATTATGTTTTAGTGGTGAAATGCCCATAAATACACAATAAATAGCCTAAACCATTTCTGTAATTTGGATATTTTTCACAATAACTAGAAAATATTTAACAAAAAATTGTGCTTTATTACGCATAATATCATCATTCGGCATTCAGTACCGCAAATGTGTAAATGGACCACTTTACAGGAGTGATAAAAACTGATTTAACTATAATGTATACCTTACTATTTGTTCGAATGAGGTTCTTAAGCATTAATACTATCAATTTTAGGTGCCAATGCCATAACTGTATAACTTAATATATTTTATAATAATGTACATTAGCGGTATTTACCTAACAGTATTGGTCAAATGTTTAACATTTGCGGGTTTGGTAAAGCTATTTCGTCATTTCATAGTGACATTTGCTGTTATACTTAAAACAGGCCCTGAACTAGTGGGAAAATACGCGTAACTTATAAAGCACTAGCTGTTACCCGCGGCTTCGCCCGCATGGTCACTGGGAAATGAACTATCCATTGCTTTTTGAATTGAAAGAAAACTGAGTTTTATAGATTTGTCAGAGATGCAGCCATTAAAAGGAAACTGAGCAAAATTGATTTGTCAGCCTATTTAAATGTTTTGAATCGCAGCGTATAAGAAAGCATGAAAATAGACTTTTTATTCCAAATGGAAATGGGATATTTTTTTAA